CTTCAGACAGTTGAATGTTCTAAAAGAGGAAAAGTTCAGCCTAGTGGGACTGATTCATAAACACTTTAAGCCGGTTAGGGATGCAGGGATTTGCAGCTTTGAACAATTCCAGATTCTGTTCATCTTAGACGGTCTCGATGAGAGTCGACTTCTTCTGGACTTCAAGAACAACGTGACTCTGAATGATGTGACAGAGTCAACCTCAGTGGATGTTCTGCTGACTAACCTCATCAGGGGGGAACTGCTTCCCTCGGCTCTCCTCTGGATAACCACGCGACCTGCAGCAGCCAGTCAGATCCCTCCTGAGTGTGTTGGCATGGTGACAGAGGTCAGAGGTTTCACTGACACACAGAAGGAGGAGTACTTCAGGAAGAGGTGCAAAGATGAAGAGAAAGTCAGGCGGATCATCTCCCATGTCAAGACATTAAAAAGTCTCTTCATTATGTGTCACATCCCAGTCTTCTGCTGGATCACTGCAGATGTTCTGGAGGGTATGTTGGAGACCAGAGATGGAGGAGATCTGCCCAAGACCCTGACTGGGATGTACATCCGCTTCTTGATGATTCAGAGTAAAAAGAAGGAAGAAAAGTATCTAAGAGAAGATGCTGGAGAAGATGCAGATATCAGGAAGATGGTTCAGAATCTTGGAAAACTGGCATTTAAGCATCTGCTGAAAGGAAACCTGATCTTCTATAAACAAGACCTGAAAAAGTGTGGCATCAACATCAAAGATGCTTCCTGGTTCTCAGGAGTGTTTACTGAGATCTTTAAAGAGGAGAGAGGGATGGACGACACCTCAGTCTACTGCTTTGTTCATCTGAGCTTCCAGGAGTTTCTGGCTGCAGTCTACTTGTTCCAATGTTTCACCAGTAGGAACACTAAAGTACTCAGGAACTTCTTCGGTTTTTTCTACATTTGCTCGTCTCTGGAGGATTTCCTGAAGAGAGTCATGGAGAAATCCCTCAGCAGTAAAAATGGCCACCTGGACCTGTTAGCTCGCTTCCTTCATGGCCTCTCAGTGGAGTCCAACCAGAGCCTCTTAGGAGGCCTGCTGGGTTGGAGAAAAAACAGTGCAGGAACAATCAAGAGAGTCATTAGCAATCTGACAAAGATGAACACTGATGATGATATCTCTCCTGATAGAAGCATCAACATCTTCCACTGTCGTCTGGAGATGCAGGAACTCTCACTTTGTCATGAGCTCCAGCAGTTATTGAAATCAGGCAAGGAGCTCTCAGAGATCCAGTGCTCAGCTCTGGCCTACATGCTGCAAATGTCAGATGAGGTATTGGATGAGTTGGACCTGAAGAAGTACAACGCATCAGATGATGGACGACGTAGACTGGTTCCAGCTGTGAAGAACTGCAGAAAGGCTCGGTGAGTCAAGATGTCCTCATCCTGTGATGCTGATTCAGCTCTAATGTCCTCCTGGTTCTTCTTAACTGTTCTAGCTGCTTCTGGATGTTTTTGCCCTTTAACTTTTTCCTTCATCCTTTGGACTATTTAGCCATGCAAACTTCTAAACATACATTTCCTTCAGGACAGCTCTGCTTAAGCTTCTGATGTTTAGAGATTAGGATCATTTTAAAAACACTCCATGTTTGATCAGTTTTCATCCTTTATTTAAATGAATCAAAAACCTTCAGAATGTAGAAAATCTGTATTTTTTCCAAAAAAACAATCAGCCAGAGACCCATTAGAATCTTAAAAATCTCTTTGCTCGTTAGAGTGTTAGGCCAGAATTCAAAGTTTTTATAATAACTGTATAGTTTTGATGGAAACTTGGGCTTTGTCCAAATGTCAGCCCTAACCCCTAAATCCCTCAATCACTATATAGAGCGGGGACTATATACTGGACTTGACGGTTAGTTAACTCATTTTACTGACCGTTAGGACAGATGATCACTTGCTTTGAGCTTCCAGTTGGTCACATAAAGCAGGGCATACACTTTATATACATTCCTGCCCTTTTCAAGCCTATTCTCCAGTTGTGGGAGAATTTTTTTTTGATCAGGGCCAACTTCTAGCCTGATTTTGCATCCTGCATCATGTAGTATTCAGGGGGTAACGTGGGGAGATTAGCCTCTCATGACCAGCTCCTGATCAGGAATCGTAAGGTCGAGAAAAAATCAAAGATGTTTGAAATTCAGTCGGCCATCGTGACATGCTCCTGAACAAATTCTGATGTTGAAGCAGAGCTACGAGATAGATGAGTCCGACCAGCGCCACATCTTGGCACTGTCCGACGTGTGGTTTTTGGACGTGCAGTGTGAGCAGATAGATCATATCAAAGCGATGGGTTCGCACAGTGTGCAAACATGCATTGTGAGCTGTGAACTTTTAAACCCTGCAGTTTCGTTGTACAGTTTGAGTTATAGCTGCGTGCAATGAATGAAAATATCGCACAGCATATGCCCGGCATATGCTGCCCCTCTTAGCATGGGGGCTGCGCTATCTTTGTCATTAGTCGCTGCTGTCGGGTAGCGACGAAGTCTCATGATGCAATTCTGGATATATCTGCTTGTCTAGTGACCATGGATAATCACTACTTTTCAAAATGCATTGTGGAAAATTTTGAGTCCACTACTTTTTCATCCAATAGATATTTGGACACTCATCAAAAACGATGTAATCACTTTATAGTGCCCTATATAATGATTAGGGCAGACATTTGGACACAGTCTTGGAATATTCAGATCAATCCCTGCATTGCTGCTGTTGCCATGGAGATTAGCTTTTTAGATCCAGAACCATATTTTCTTACTGCCCCCCCAACCGACACACACCACACCACAAGTTTGTAAATTAGAGTTTGGAACCATTTTTCTCATCAAGAAGCTGTTAGATGATCTACATAAAGAAGCTTAGAGACATGAGCTTTAACCCTTTAGACATTGCAGCCTTTTCTAATTGCAGGGAGAACTTTCAGTGCTTTCTAATAAAAATTGCTGCTTGAAACAAATGCTCTGTCTCCTCTAACCAGTAGATAGCCAGATCCAAACATGGAAATCTGAATATATGTCCATGAAGGACCCTACCTTTCAACCATTGGCTGTTAGAGACAAAGAGGAGCCATGATCCTAAAGAAGCTGAAGGTTAGATTAAAAAATGATGAACAGAAAATATTTGATGCTGTGGGGTGGAAGTTTTGATCATCACCATCCAATTTGCTGTTAATGTCAGGACAGAGACACAGCAGGCCTGCAACTGAACCAGGATCTGAGGAGACTTAAGCAATTCACTGTGGAGTCATCAGATGACGAAATCACTGTTTTCTCATTATGTTTTGTATGTCTAACATCGAGATTGTCTGATTTCATTATAACTGACTATATTTCCCCTCAAATCACAGACTTGGTGGCTGTTACCTCTCTGAAACTGAATGTGAAGTTGTGGCCTCAGCTCTGAAGTCCAACCTTCATCTGACTGAAGTGGAAATAGAGAAGATCTATGCACGAGGATCCTTAGATGACGGTGGAATTAAGCAGCTGTGTGAGATACTGGAGAGTTCAGTCTGCAAAGTGAAGAGCCTGTCGTGAGTTTTCTGTTTGTACTGAAACCAAATCATTAACTGATACTTTAATACTTATTTTAATTGAGAATTTTATTCTAATATATTTTCTTTAAATACAGTTTCTCAGATATTTTACCTTGTAAATGAATAATTCTCCTGTTCCATATGTTCTAAATAGTGAACTTTATTTTCCAGGTGTTCAAACTTTCAAATGCTTTGGAATGAATGACAAAAATTAGTTAAATGAGATCAAATAATGATGGAGATGTTTCGGTTTGATACTGGAAGGATTCACATGATGACAAAATATAGAATAGCTTTCAGGGGTTGACGTTAAGGATTTTTACCACTTGCTCTTCGGGCAGGTGACTTTCACATTTCATTTGCCCAGAAACAATTTTTACTTGCCCAGTATAAT